GGGGGGGGGGGGGGGGGGGGGGGGGGGGGGGGGGGGGGGGCATCGTACAAGTGGCTTGTGATACTTGGTACAAAGGTGGGCCAAATTATGGTTGCTTGTAATGAGGCGAAAAAGATATGAGAGAAGAGATGAAGAAAGATTGAAAGATGGTGCGGGGGGGGAAGAGTCGAGGTAGAGTATTAGCGTTGACGCGACGGGAAGATCTGCTAAAGGACGCGTAAAGAATGGGTCCAAAGGAGGCGAGTTGGGCGAACGCATCATTGCGCATCTCACGAGAAGCGTCTCGTCATCAGTAGCCTCCAAAGGCGCGAGCGCGCTCGACGAGCTGATGCACTTTCAGACCAGCTTTGCTGCCCTTGAGAAAGACGGAATTCTTGCGCACCGTACGAATGATGCGGTCCCTCTGCTCGTGTCCGACCGAGGTTAGGAGCGTATGCATGATCTGTGTACCTTGAGGGGCCGAGGCAATGTCGACGAGAACGGAACGCCGACTGCCAGTGTAGTTGGAGGAAGCGCCGACATTGGATCTAGCGCTGCTCGCTCCGCCTTCCCCCGCGCTCTCGCGATCACAGATAATGTCCAGATAGGCGTTGATGAAGTCTGCATCGTGACACTTGAGCGCTGTCATGATGGCTTTTTGACCATATTGTGAGAGGGTAAGATGGACTGCTTCCTCGAGCAGCTTGTTGAAGGCAGTTCGACGGTCTTGCGCTTCGCCATGCTCCAAGATATGCTGCACCACCCACACGCCCCATTGATTCGTAGCGCACAAACAGAGCTGCTCCAGAATCTCCGAAATGCATTCGCGCTTCTCCTCTCTATCAGCGCTTTCAAATATGTTTTGACAGACGATGCTGCCCGTCTCTTGACGTGCTGTTTGCGCCCACTTTCCTCGCATGACGTTGTTGATGGCGTCAAACATCCTCTGACGCACTTCGGCGCTGCTCCAATTGATCTCCAACACCTTTTGCCACACGTGGATAGAATTGCGCGACGTGAGCGTCTCCATCAGCCTGTCATTGAGAAGCTCTTCCACCACTTCTTGCTTGATCTCTTCCCCTTCATCCAGCACGCGCTGTATGACATGGCAGCCAAATTGCGAAAGGGCCAAGTGAACAAAGTGGCCCCGCAATTGCCAGCATACAGTTGCATCCACGGAT